AATGGCTTGGTGAAAATATCGGCCAGTTGATTATTAGAGTTTACAAAATCAAGAATAATATGTCCATTTTGCACATGCTCTCTAATAAAATGATGTCTAATGTCAATATGTTTAGTTCTAGAATGATGAATAGGATTTTTAGTTAAATTAATAGCACTTGTATTATCACAAAATATAGGCACACTATGAAACTTTAATCCAAAATCACAAAGAGTTTGTTTCATCCAAAGAATTTGAGCACAGCAACTAGCAACCGCAATATATTCCGCTTCGGTAGTAGATAAGGCAACCGAATTTTGCTTTTTACTAAACCAAGAAACTAAGGAACTACCAAGAAATTGACAAGTTCCACTAGTACTTTTACGATCAAGTAAGCTTCCGGCAAAATCTGCATCAGAATATCCTACCAATTTAAATTCAACATTTCTAGGATACCACAATCCTAGATCAACAGTTCCAAGCAAATATTTAAATATTCTCTTAACGGCATGTAAATGAGATTCCTTAGGACAAGATTGAAATCTAGCACAAAGACATACACTAAACATAATATCGGGTCTACTAGCGGTCAAGTAAAGTANAAGAAATTTTGCAACAGATGATGGAGTTACAAACTAAGCAAATTCAATCAAATGTTGATGCGCCTAAGGATCCAAGTGACATTAACATTGACGAGCAAGAGGTGACTTAATCAAGCAAATCTGATAAAAATGAAACGAAACATCAACATCTTAGGCGATCAAATAGAATCCGAAGGCCAAATCCTAAATATGCAAATGCAGCTATTATAGAAGATAGAGTTTATGAATCAGAGACATATGAAGAGGCATCATAAAACTCAATTTTGCAGAAAATGATGGAGGAAGAAATTATAGCTCTGAAGCATAATCAAACTTGGGAACTAGTGCCAAGACTAGGAGATGTCAAACTCATCTCTTGCAAGTGGGTCTACAAAATAAAGCGTTGATCGGATGGATCAATCGAGAGATACAAGGCTCGACTCATACCTCGAGAATTTTCTCAACAATATGGACTAGACTATGATGAAAGATTTAGTCCAGTGGAAAAGATCACTACCGTATGAGTCCTGTAGCACTCGCAGCAAGTTAAGATTGGAAACTATGGAAAATGAAGGCAAAGAGTTGAACGATAAAACGACACACTGACAAATAGTAGGTAGTCTTATCTACCTAACTTTAACTTGGCCTGATATTTCTTTGCAATTGGGAATATGAGTCGGTACATGCAAAGTCTAAAGAAGCCTCATTTGGATGCAACTCGACGTATCTTGAGATATGTCAAAGGTACAATCGACTATGCTCTTTTGTACAAAAGAAGTAAAGATTGCAAGCTAGTTGGATACTATGATGTTGACTATGTAGAAGACCACGATACTCGGGGTCAACCGCTGGGTATGTGTTAAGTTTGGTTCGGGAACAAGTTCTTGGTGTAGCAAGAGACAACCAACAGTATCATTATCAACTATAGATTTGCACCAGAAAATTACATGGCTGGAGCAGCTCATGAAAGTACATGGCTGAAACTCTTGATGAAAGATTTGCACCAGAAAATTGACTATCCAATATCACTTCATTGCGACAACCAATCTACGATTCGCCTAGCACAAAATATGGTGTTTCATGCTAGAACAAAGCATATGGAGGTGCAGTACCATTTCATTAGAGAGAAGGTCCTAAAGGAAGAAATTAAGATGCAGCAGATCAAGACAGATGACCAAGTGACAGACTTGTTTACAAAAGGGCCTAATACTGCCAAACATGAGAGTTTTCGCTGTCGGCTTAACATGGCGATTGAGAATTAGTGTTGAGGGGGAGTGTTAAAATATCATCACTAGCCCAATAGAGTAAAGCTCAATAATTGTACGAGCTCATTGTATATTTATTTTGGTAGAGATTTTAGGAAAGATACTATATATTTTAGGAAAGAGATCTGGATGTTTTAGGAAAAAAATTTAGATTTGTTAGGTCTAGATTACGTAGGGTATAGTGTAAATACCCTTCGACCCTACCTAGCTCTTCATCCCAAGAAATCCCAAGTATTATAAAGTAGTAGTATTCTACCAAGTGTCTTGTATTCTCTTCTCGATTGGTCTTAATAAAGAGTGTGAGTGTTTCCCACAGAGAATTTTGTTCGACATGCAGTACGCTTCCAATCCATCCCAGAGTGATTTGAGCTTGGTGAAATATGCTAACAGTGCCATCATTCCATTTGACATCATTGCTATCGACTTTTGAATCTGAAAAATTGCTGGAGCATTATTTTGTGAGAATTGATCGTGAAGATCAACCCACACTTGATGAGCTGTCTTGGCGTGAATAATACCTTCAGTGATATCTGCTTCAACTGAATGAGTTAACCAAGATATTATCATACTGTTGCACTGATTCCAGAGTTCAAATTCGGTTGAATTTGCATCTTAACACGGTTCTTCAATAGTGCCATCAATGAAGCCAATTTTCTTTTCGGCAATAAGAGCATGGATAACTTATTAACACCAGAATTGGTAATTTGTTCCATTTAATTTGATTGGAACAAGTGAATATCCAGGATGATCAGAGTGATGAATATAATAAGAATGTGTTAAGTTAACATCCGAATTTTTTAAGCTGAATTTGGTTGATTATGCCATAAAGAAAATCAAGATATTTAAGAACACCAAGATCGGTGCTCTGATAAAATGTTAAGAATGAGAAATAGAATTGGGATTGAATATCTAAGATATATTTCATAACTAATTATTATAATATATTATCCAAATATTATATCTTAATAAGTTTTTATCAAGATATTTCCTGACGATCTTGAACCTTGGATTCTAAAACCTTCATTATCTTTTATGGGCTTTAGTACTATGGTTCTTGGTTATTGATCCATGTTCTAGTCCTTGATCGTTCTCTTGTTCTTCGTACTTTCTTAGTTCTTGTTCGGTTCTTTGTTTTTTTTCTCTAACACACTGTCCTGAAGATTTATGGTATCAGATATGAACCTGACATCCTGTGTCCAAGGCTTCAAGCGTTCCAAGTGACACAGTCTTAATCCACACCTCAGGGCTTGCTCTTCGATATGCTCTGAAAACCTATGTCCAAGGCTTCATGCATTTGAAGTAACATATTCTGGAAACCTACATCCAAGAATTCTTACGTTCCAAACGGTGTAGTCTAATTCTGCATTAAGGGCTTGCCCTATGATACAGTCTGAATACCTATGCCCAAGGCTTCATGCGTTCCAAGCAACCTAGTCCGAATACTTACGCTTAAGGCTTCATGCGTTCCAAGAAGCGTAGTTTTAAATCCTACACCCAATGCTTGCCCTATGTTACAACATGAATACCTACGCCCAAGACTTCATGGTTCTCAATCTTGTAAGTTTCTAATGTTCCTAATTCCTTGAGGAATAAGTTGTAACATGCATTCGTAAACATACGAATCCATCGTAATAACAAGCCTGAGTTTTTCTAGAAGGTCATAGATTCGTAATGAATTCCTTAAGGGTGATTAAAGGGTCTTGAGTCTTGAAGTGTTTCTTTGGTCCAAACTTGCTTTAGGTTCCAAGCTTGCTCTAATCAACTTGAACTCTTGAACAACCTTGTTGTCCTTAGAAATGGGCCTTATAAGAAGTAGCAAGTCATTTGTTGGACATATAGACCTTGAATTTAAATAAGTAGTCTTAGGGGCATTTTCGTCATTTTAGTCATTTTACCCCTAATTCTTGGTTTTGCTACTTAACGTGTTCCAATGGCTTTCAAACTTTTCCACATCATCAAACATCATATGATAAGGTCTATCACGAAATTTAATAGCATATGGAGGTCCTCTAGGTCATGAACTGTAGGTAGACATCTTTAGGGGAAATATGGTCATTTTGCATCCTTTCTTGGTTTACCTCCTATCCTTATCCAATGTCCACCAAATTTCATATATAACCTCCATATACTATAATATGCTCAGCATTAAAATTTCATAGGCAGCGAAGTTAATCTAGTTTGTTATTTTAATGTTACATAAATCTCGAGAAATTTGATCTGTTTAGGGCTTTAACTCAGGGTTCTTTGAGTTTTTCTTTTATATATCCTTAATCCATACATGGTTTAGGGTTCATGTAGAAATCCAAGAGATTCCAACAAGTATTTTTTAAGAAAAGTCCAAGGTGGCTACTTACCTCTTCATCTGTGTTCGGGACTTCCGTTCTTGAGCTTTCGGTTTCCGAATTATTCCAAATTATCTTTACTAGATTCATCTTTGAGTCTAGTTTCAGTAACCATAAAGAAATTAATGAAAACTGGTCTGAAAGAGATCCAAATTGATCAAAAAGGGTAGAAAGGTCAACATATGGCTACCTTTGACTTTTATTGTTCAAAGTTTTACCTTTGACTTTGTTCTTCATCTTCTTCATGGGTGGCTGGAAAAATCACAATTTTTCCTTATCATATTCCTCTGGTTTGCCTTTGTACCACTCTATATACACCTATAATGGACTAAATTTCTCCACGAAACGTTTAGATAAAGTTTCAAGAAGTAGGGGCAATTTCATACCTTGTCATGGTCTGTAACTTGAGTTATAACCTTCCAAAGTTTGCCAGAAAACATGTTTCTCACCTTTTTTCGGGACAACCGATTCTAGAGCTTTTTATTTCTTGATTCCTTCACGAAACTTGTTGGAAATCCCATATGGAATGTGTAGAAGTTGGTAGGATGGAAAATGATTAACCATAACCCTCGAAGAAGTAATCTGAGGAAGAAAATTCTATAATCTAAAAGCTTCAAACTCGAATTTTAGGAATCATCACTCAATTCTTGTCTTGAAATATTATCCATAACTTCATATTTATAGATCAAGCTTGCACAGTCATTGATTGTTCTAGAATTGTGGTGCATTTTCTCGTTTTTTATTTATCTAAAATTAAGTAAAAAAAAAATATCTAAAACGATGAAGGTGCTACCGACATTGGTTTTCAACTTAAACCATTGGATCTATAGAACCTTTAGTCTCGTTAAACATATCCAAACAGCAGCTCATTGGAAGGAAGTCGTGCCCAATAAGTTTGGACGAAAACTGAAGTTGTAGCTGGCCTAAGGTATCAGCTTGTGGACTCCCAAGTCATCATCGTCAGATTTGCAGTGAACAGTGAGCTGATTTTTAGATTTTAAAACATTTGTTATCTTGACCATAATATTTGGGTTTTGGATGAATGATCCTTCGATGGTAGTGAATTGGTTAGCAAAGAATGATAAAATTAAGAGAGAATGTGCAAGTGTTGAAAATAAACTCATTGTTGAAATCGGAGAGGAAAAGAGATGGGTATGAACACATTTGTGCTTGATTTGTTTCACTTTTTATAGTTGAAAAAGAGTGTAATGGAAGATAACAGTTGATCCGTAATAACCATTACTCTTGTTAAATTGTTTATAATAAAAATAGAATCGTGATTGATAACGTGTTATTTTTTAAATCGAAAAATATATGCTTGAAACTCATTATGGGTTATTGCTCTCTAAAATTTTGAATTAAAAATGTAAAAGTATCATATGAAAATTAATTTTATGTGATGATCGTTCGGGTCCTTCACCTAGTCTTATTTTCGCTCATGTTCTAGACCAACGGGACTTTTATCTAGTCATCATATGTAAGGACCGAGCTGACTCAATACTCCAAAAAGACGAGTATACTTTCACGAAATAAAACAAGCAGTATTGAAAACATAACATCATTTAAAAAAAAATAGTGTTCATACATGAGTAATTAAAACACAACACAATAGTTAAAACACAAAATATTTCAAAACAAATGGGTTGAAGACGATGGGTGAGGCTTGTCTATGACACCTGCTCTAGAGTCCGCTCCCAACCTCGACTAGCTCCTTATTACCGGAAAAAAAATGCAAAATAAGGAAGGAGTACAAGACTCAGCAAGTAGCCTACTTGTAGGCTCTTAATCGTGTCCTTGATATGCTAGGATACCGCGCTCTTTCTTTTCTTTGTTCTTGTTTTTGTCGTAAGTACTTAGTTCTGTTTCTGACTTTGAGTTCTGTTAAGAATGAGAAATAGAATTGGGATCGAGAGTGCAATCTTCATTAATATTCACAATGTTTAAATAGGATACAAGTTACAAACTACTACCTAAAAACAAGGGAAAATATAAACAACTAAATCTTGAGAATAAAATAAAATATAGTACTAATCAAATCATAAAAGAAAAAATATTAACTCATTACGAATATCTAAGATATATTCCACAACTAATTATTACTCAAGTTGGGGATCAAGTTGGGGAGTATATGTCAATCACACCCAACTTGTCTTTAAAAAAAATCAAATCGATGTCTTCCCAAATTTTTAGTGAAAATATCTGACAATCGAATTTGAGTCAAAACATAACATGGTTTGATGATTCCATCTTGTAATTTTTCTCGAACTATATGACAATCTATTTCAATTTATTTCGTACGTTCGTAAAAAACTTGATTGGTTGTTATGTGTAATGTTGTTTGATTATTACAATACAACAATGCGAATAGTGGAACTTTCACGTCTTGAAGAATGTATCTTAACCAAGTTAACTCTAAACAAGTATTTACCATAACTGGATACTCGACTTCTGTTGATGATTTGGACACATTGGTTTGTTTTTTAGACTTCCAAGGAATAATTGAATTTCCAAGGAAAATGCAGAACCAAGAAATTGACCGTATGGAAGTTTGACAACCACCCCAGTCTGAGTCGCAATATGCTTGTAATCATAAGTTGTTTTCAGATGGTAATACAAGTCCTTCACCAATTGTACCTTTGATGTATCTCAAAACTCAAAGAGCTTCCTCCCAATGTGGTTTTCTTGGTTCATGCATAAATTGACTAAGCATACAAACTGAATACACTACATTAGGCCTAGTAATAGATAAATATATTAATCTGCCAATCAACCGTCTGTATTTACTTGGATCATCAACTTCTCTCCTTCTGTTAAAGAAAGTTTCAGATTTTGCTCCATAGGAAATTTTTCTGGACGTGCTCCTGTGTCATGAAGAATATCAATGTCTATTAGTAAATAAAGAGAATATCATACTTCCTTTGCGACATAAAAATTTCTTTTCTAGACCTAGAAAATTCAATGCCTAGTTAATATTTCAAATTCCCTAAATCTTTGATAAGGAATTTCTCAAGTAAACTAGTCTTGAGATGTTGAATTTCTTTGAGATTATTGTCTGTCAACAGAATATCATCAACATAAATAAAAGCTACCATGAAAGAAGTACCTTTACTATTAGTAAATAAAGAGTAATTTGCTTTGAACTAAGCGTAGCCTGCATTTTTTATAGTGGTAGAGAATATGGAGAACCAACTACAAGAAGCCTATTTTAAAGTATAAAGAGATTTATGGAGCCGACATACTGTAATCTCCCCGTGCCGATGAATACCTAGTGGTAAAGATATATAGACTTCCTCGTTTACATTGTCATGGAGAAAGACATTTTGAACATCCAACTGATGAGTGAACCATTTTCGAGTAGGGACAATAGTGAGTAAGCAAACAAAGTGTAGTAAGTTTCGCTATAGGAGAAAATGTTTCTTTGTAATCAATACCTTTAACTTGAGTGTATCCCTTTACTACCAGTCGAGCTTTATAACATTCAACAGAATCATCAGAGTTGTGTTTAATCTTGTACACCCAACGACAACCAATAGCTTTATGGTCAGGTGGTAGAGGAATGAGAGAGTGCAATTTCATCATTCATAGCCTGCTGCCATAATGGGTCGCCAACTACCCCATCATAGGATAAATGATTGGTGCTCTGCGAGTGGCTACCTCGGCATGGCTTTGAGATTACCCAGTGTCTTACCTAGGAAGTGAGCTGTAACACCATAGTCCCATGGTAATCCCCCTGTATTTGGGAGGGCTACCTCCCGTATCCCATGCAGCTAAATGGTCAGTTACGACGTGGGTCTCCCTTTTCCCATGCTAAAACAGCTATCGAGCAGTCGAGTCTTGATCAGGAACCCACTGGTCCCCCATGAAGCTATATCATTCACACACAAGTAGCCTAAGGGTAGTCTAGAGGTGCTTTGTGTGTCGTGGTTGTTTCTTAGGCTCCTAGGAAAGGGTTAAGTCTATACATAGTGACTTGTCACTCTAACACAAATCCCTAGACTTTATCAAACCTGTGGGTCGGTGAGAATTAACTGAGTGTGCACACATCTATCATCCAACATCATCATACAAAATTCATGCAAAGTAAACATACATGCTCAACGAGGCGATAATATCCATCAAGTCCCGGAGCTCAGAGTTCATAAGTTCCCATCCTCCTTTCAGCATGAATTAAACATATACATATAAAGCGAAAGCTTAAAGCATAATTGCAACACTCAGATAATTCTCAAAATACTTCATATAGTACATCCATACTCTTAACAACCAAATTACATACATTCAATCATGGAACGCTACCACCTAAGGTAATTAAACTAGCATGCATGCATAACCAAGCGACTCCTACAAGTATTTCTTCCTAAAGTTCCGTGTGGTGACTTACCTGATTGACGCGTGTTCTTCGTTGAGCATTTCTATACCAATAGCGTGTCCACAAATACTGATTTTTCTCATTTAAGTCCTATTTCATATAAAAATAGGGCCAGAGTTGGAATCGAAAGGGAAATCGAGCAAACAGAAGTTGAATGGGCTGAAAATTGCACCTCACGCGCGTTCACGTGCCTGGGAAGGTGTTACACGCGCACGGCCACGCGCGTACGAACGCGCATGAGGGAGGGAAGACGCGCGTTGAGGTATTGCCATGTGGCGCCCGCTGAACGGTCAATCGAGGTCGAGGTCATCGGTTCAAAATCGGAAGGACGCGCTGGAAATCTGAATTATTTTACGCTGACGCATGGCAACGCGAAGCTTGGTCGGTGATCCAGGTTGCGCGCAGGCCATCAGTCGCGGACTCAGGTAGTGACTGCCGGCGTTTGAATCCTGCCCGACGCGAAGTATTTCATTGAATTTCTCTGCCAATACACGCCAGACACGTGTCAACCATTTCGGCGATGCGCGACCCTCTCTTTTCCTGACACGTGTCCCTTCGTCGTTCTTCTTCTTCCTCACATCTCTGCGATTTTTTAGAAAACCGATTATTTCCTATTTTCTTTGCATGTTCGTATTTCTTTCTATAATTTGGATTAATATGATTCCTTCGCGAGATTTATAGACCTCATACTCATCTACATATAGCTATTTTTCTTGTAATTTATTTCTAACCACATTGGTAATAAACTCAGTCCAAAGTTGACAAGAGATATCAATACTCACATCATTGATGGAAAGTTGGAACTCCTCTTTTCGATCCAAATCAATCAACAATCTTTTCTAGATTAACATACTCAAATTTCAAAATCTAACTCTCAATATTTCTAACAAATTTGAGGAAATCTGAAAACAACCGTTCAAGAACTTACCTACGGATTTTCTTTGATCCTTGACGGTTTTGGACGATTTGAGAGAATTGTTCTTTCCTGATTCTGTGAAGATTTTATGAAGAAGGCTCGGCCGGAACCGGAATCCTCGTGGCCGGCAGTTACCTCACTCTCTCTCTCTAGAGCTTTCCTTCTCTCGGCCGGAACCGGAATCCTCGTGGCCGGCAGTTACCTCACTCTCTCTCTCTAGAGCTTTCCTTCTCTATCTAGAACTTTCCTTCTGGTTCTAGAATTTTCTCTCTCCCTATTTCTATTATTTTCTTTTCCGCCATTTTTCCTTCTCTTCCTTTTCCTCTTTATTTTTCTTTTTCTTCTTTTAATCCTATGTTACTAGACGGGAGGGTATAATGGTCAAATTACCCTCTAGTTGACTTTGACCATATTTCTAATTTTCTATCATTTTTTTTATATTTTTCCTAAGTTCTTCTATTATTTCCAAGTATATTTGTCTGCTACCTCATCTCCAAATTTGGTCTCTAAGACCCTCAACAAAATATTAGAAGTTCAACATAAAAGGAAAAATTAGATTTTAAACTTTCCATTGAGGCTCGGGTCTTATTGTAATCATGAAGGGGATACCTGGTGCTAGTGTTGAGACTTGAGCTAGAGGTTAAATGATTGGCTCCAGAAGACATCTCATAATCATTATGACAAGCTGAAGATTGTTTTATATGAGTAGAACATCGGAGTGGAACTAATGTATCAGATATGATAAGATCAAAATTAGTGGGTGACAAAGTAGTAAGTGAAGGAATAAAATGTGGGGGAAGACTAATATGGATGTTTGAGTAGGATGAATCATGAAGTGGTAAAATGGGAGTTAAAAGAGCTAATGTTAAAGTTTGTGAAGCTAATGAAGAAGGAAAATCATCTTCACAAAATTTAACATCACGACTGATAAAGAATTTTTTAGATTGCATGTCATACAATTTGTAACCTTTGTTACCACAAGGATATCCTACGAAAACACAAGGAATTGTCCAAGTTTCAAATTTTTGCTTAGAGTGTACTACAGTTTCATAACACTTACAACCAAAAACTTTAAGATGGTTAAATGGAGGTGGTCCTTTGTAGAGTGCATCAAAGGGTGTCTTGTTAGATAACAATGTTGATGGTGTTTTATTTATAAGATAAACGTAGTTAAAATGCACTCTCCCCAAAAATTAAGTGGAACCTGTGACTGAAAGAGAAGAGACCTAGTTACATTTAGGATATGCCGATTCTTGCGTTCTACGACAACATTTTGTTGTAAAGTATAGACACAAGTCGCTGAAATTCAATGCCACGTGAAGTAAAAAATAGTTGCAAAGATAGGAACTTAGTCCCATTATGTGATCTAACTATCTTGAAAGTAGTATGAAATTGAGTTTGAACGAATTTTAAAAAGTTCATTAACAAATGATGTACTTCTGATTTATGTTGCATAAGAAAAACCCAAGTACATCGTGTAAAATCATCAACAATAGTGAGAAACAAAATGCAGTGTTGAAATTTTATGTGGTCTCCAAACATCACAATGTAACATATCAAAGGCAAAATGGGTTGTTATTGAGCTTCTTGGGAAAGACAACCTAGTTTGTTTTGCTAATGGGAAAATACTACAGTTATGAGAAAAAATAGCATTATTAAGATGCAATTGCTCAGCTAGAAATTTAAAACGAGAAAAAAAAGAATGACCTAGGCATAAATGCCACAAATCAGATGACTGAGATACTTGGTGAGCTGAAGATTTGATTGGAGATTGTGAAATATGATAGAGACTCCGAATTGTTTACAGGAGCCAATCATCCTCCCCGTAGCCAAGTTCTACATAACACAAAAATAAGGATAGAGGCGCATAACATTTCAAGTCATTGGTAAGTTTGCTGATGAACATTAGGTTTAAATTGAATGAAGGCACACAAAAAACGATGTTTAATTTAAGGTCAGAATTAAAGGAAACATTGTCAGTATGTGACACATGTGTTGTCCCTCCATTAGGCAAATTTATTATATATATGAAGGAATCCTTTGGTTCAGTCATAATAGAAGCTTTGGATACTATATGATCCGTAGCTCCAATATCGAGAATCCATGGATTAGAAATTTTAGAGTTAATAGATAATGCAAATACTGGAAACAAACCAGCAACATTGATGTTATTGTCAGAATTACCAGAAGGACGTTGATTGAGTGCAGATAAGGCTTGTGCTATTTGTTGTAATTGCTTAGAAGAAAAATTTAGGATAGAATTAGGTGACTGTTCTTCTGTATGCAATAGAGAAACATCGGCCATATTTGCAGATGATCGATATCCACGATTGTTGCGTTGATTGACTTGTACTGCCCTTCCAGAATTATTTTGTCTACATAGAACTTCTTTATGTCCCCTTCTATCACAAAATTTACCATGAAGCTTAAGGATTCGACACTCAACAATTGTATGACCACTTTTATTGTAGTGTTCACATGATTTTTCCTTGGCAAATTTTAAATATGTTGTTTTCTTCTGCATTGCTGATGCAATCGAGAAATTCTCAATAGGTTCAGAAGTTATCAGACGCTGCATCTCTTCTTGTACAAGTAATGAATAGGCTTTGCCTCACATTAGGTAATGGAGTCAAAATCAATATGTTAGATCTCATTGTTTTATAAGACTCATTGAGCCCCATGAGTAGCTGCATCAACTTCTCTTCTTCGTGTTGATCAACACGTATTTGACGTTGGTTATAGGTAAATGGTGTGCGGTGTTAAAATATCATCACTAGCCCAATAGCATCAAGCCCAATAATTCTACGAGCCCATTGTATATTTATTTTAGATGAGATTTTACAAAAGAGATCTCGAATTTTAGGAAAAAGATTTACATTTGTTAGGTTTAGATTGCGTAGAGTATAGTACAAATACCCCTTGACCCTGCCTAGTTTTTCATCCCAAGAAATCACAAGCAATATAAAGTAGTAGTATTCTACAAAGTGTCTTGTATTCTCTTCTCGATTGGTCTTAATAAAGAGTGCGAATGTTTCCCACAAAGAGTTGTGTTCAACTGTCTTGTATTCTCTTCTCGATAGGTTTTAATATAGAGTGCGAGTGTTTCCCACAAAGAGTTGTGTTCAACAATCTGGTATCAGAGCGAGGTTAGTATAGGTTGTCTGATCTCTTGGAATTCTTAGTATGCTCTGTGGCTACCGCTCTGTCTGATTTTCTACTTCTGAAACGATTTCTTGAAATTATTAGTGAGTGAGTTTCTTTGTGTCATGAGTAGTCAGTGACTCAAATCTTGTGTCGAAAAGGCTTGTTTGGTATTATTGAGGTATTGTCAACACGATGGGTGACTTCCAAATCGTAGGAGGAATCAAGAAACTCAACAACAACTACTATAATACGTGGGAAGCATGCATGATGACCCATTTACAAGGACAGAATCTTTGGAAGATCATTGGTGGGAGTGAAATATGCCGCCAGTAGAGGATTCTAACGACGCCTTGCGCAAATAGAGAATCAAAGCAGGCAAAGAAATGTTTGTCTTGAAGACCAATCGAAGAAGAGATGTTAGAACATATTTGGGATGAGAAGACACCGAAAGAAGCATGTGACATGCTAGTGATGTTGTTCTCCAAGAAGAACGATACGAGGCTACAACTTCTTGAGAACTAGATATTTTCATTTTCACAACGTGATATGACGATTGCTTAGTACTTCCACAAAGTCAAGATGATTTGCCGAGAGATTAATAAACTAAAATCGAAGTCTGCAATTGGAGAAGATCGAATGTAGAGGATCATTATCCACGGGTTGCGATAACAATATAGAAGCTTCATTATTGTTGTGCAAGGATGGCCCACTCAAGTATAACTAGTAGAGTTTGAAAATTTGTTAGCCAGCCATGAAGCCATAGCTAAACAAATGGGAGGCATCACATTAAAGGTGAAGAAGAAGCACTCTACACGAGTGAAAGTCAAGGAAATAATAAGTTATCTACCAAACGTGGATACAAAAATGGTGACAAAAGAAGAAGTCATCAAGGAATTGCACAACCTAAGATAGCTCAGAAGAATGACAACAAGAGTTCTCAAGGAAAGAGATTTTAAGGTAATTGCTATAATCGCGGGAAGAAGGGCCACATGTCTAACGACTGTTGGTCCAAGAAAAAATCTATCGAAAATAATGTGGCATCCTCCAACATAAAGATGGAGGAGGAATGGAATACAGAGGTACTATATGCCATAGAAGAAGACGAGCTAGCACTCATGGCGACGATGAGAGACCATGTCAATTATGAGAATGACTGGATCGTTGATTCAGGATGCTCAAACCATATGACTGGCGATCAGAGTAAATTGCAAGACAAGAAAGGGTACAAAGGAAGCCATATGCTATGCACAGCAAATAACGCACAGTTTTCAATTGCTCAGATCGGCAATAGGACAATCATGCCTAGCAATAAATCTGATATAGTGTCACTACATAATGTTTATCATGTACCGGGTATAAAGAAGAACTTGTTGTCAGTGCCATCACTAACAACATCAGGAAACTACATCTTGTTTGGGCTAGAAGATGTAAAAGTCAATCAAGATGTTAAGATAATAGGAAAGCCGACAATAGAAGGACGAAGAGTGGAATTTGTTTACGTCCTATCTACAGAGTCTGCCTTTGTTAACAAGACCCAAAAGAATGAGACAACATATCTATGGCATGCAAGATTGGGACATGTTAGCTACCATAAGTTGAAGCTGATTATGGTAAAGCTCATCAATTACCATACAAAGAGTCAAGTTTTAAAGCAAAGAAACCATTAGAGTTATTCCACTCTAATTTGTTCGGTCCTGTCAAACAAGAATCAATCAACGGAATGCGTTATATGGTGACGTTTATCGATGACTACTCAAGATATGTGTGGACTTTCTTTATGAAAGAAAAGTCTGACACATTCTCAAAGTTTCAAGAATTCAAGATGATGATCGAATGAGAACTAGGAGTGTGTTAGATAAAAGCTATTATTTTTCATTATTTAGTATATTCACATGTTTCCTTAAACTTAGTTGTTTTTTTGGTCTTCGGATATCTGAATTAACGCTCCACGTATAATGGAAGAGCGTATTTTTTGCTCGCTATTTCGACCAATTTGGACGCAAGATTTGTGCTACTATGACTAATTTTAGGATAGGATGGTTATTTAAATATGTCAGTGGAATGAAAATAACAATCCATCAGTTCTTTAGCGCATACTTTCTCTCTCTCTGTTATTCTTTCGGTTATTTTTTTTTCTTCCAACAAACTTTTGGCCGTTTTTTACTCCGTCGACGATTTTTCCTCGATTGTCTGAAGTCAACAAATGGTATCAGAGCCTGGTTTAATCCACCGGTGATATATCATTGCAGAGGAGCCAACTTTATCAAAAGTAAAGTTGATTAGCTTAACTTGTTAGAACATCGACCTAACAATACACAGGTCTTAAGTTTAGTAGAAGAAAATACAAAGTGCAAAAATACACACATCGTAGGGTTCATCCTTGGCAGGCTCACTCACTCCTCTTGAGTGCTACCATCTCCATCACCGTTGCGAAGGCAAATGTCGAGTTGTCGTGCCAACCAATTAATCCGGTTCGCACACTTTTTGGGCCCCTTTTATGATTGGACGAGCATTCTAAGGAGCTGTTGATGTCGAACTCCCCCTCCATTGCGGTTGATATCATATCATATTCATCATAGCTTTCCTTACGCGGTTGTGCATTATGTCGACACATTTTTTCGTATATCATTCATATCATGTATCGTGTCATATCATGCATATATCATATTATCAGCACATCATGTAATATATATCATGTACTATATCGTCAAACGTGTTATACCATAAAATTTATCATATCATTAGTACATCATCAAAACACGTGTCATAATATTCATAACATTCACGTATCATCTCATAGTCACGTTGTATCACACACATATCATGGACTTATCATCTTGTAAACATATCATAGTCATATTGTTTTGTAAAATGTCACAGTCATATCGTTTCATAAACATAACCAAGTCATATTCTTTCACAAACATATCATGGTCATCTCATTTCATAAATGTATCATAGTCGTTTCATTTCATAAAAATATTCTTGTCATACTTGTCATATCATTGCATAAACCTAATATATCGTTATAATATGAACTAAAGTGGGTTTTTGGGTAACATGCAAATAGGTGTAGGTGATTTTGACTACTTAAACAAAACTAAAGCAGAGTGTCACTACAGTCAAATAATAGAAAATGATTGAGAAAATCAACAATAATGAGGAAGATTCGACATAGAGAAATTAAATAGATAAGTTGTTGAGTTTAGTGGTAGATTTTAGTTCTTTTTAATAGATTCCCAAGCCCATTTCTGAGGGTCATGCATGATGATTATTTTCATAATCGTTTTTAATTTCTATTAACAATGCTCTGTGAGAAGAATTATTCGTAACCCTTCTATTACCCTTCAAGTCTCTTGCTATGGAACTAAAGTATTAAAGAGGATTTCATTATCCCTCTCTTCTCTCGAATAAGAGAACAACTATGTATGTAAAGTAGCTAATTAAACACACATGTAAATCATTAACCACAACTCTTTAATAAACTAAGATCATATCGTCAACATACTTAAACTATATAAAACTCTCTTGCCTCACCTATAAAGTTTAGCTCTCCATACAAACTGAATTAAACAGAGGAATCCGCATCTCAATCATGTAAAATTGATGGAATGAGAAAAGAGAATAAGAAATAGAGAGTTATCCCGGTTTGTTGTCGTTCGTTAATGGAAGTTTCCTTCCCTTGAGCTCTCACGTCCACCTCTTTGCCTAATAAATCCTTACTGGTCTCCTTTTCCTTCTGCTATCAACAGCAGCAGGATTAGGATTTTCTTCTTCTTCTCTGGTTTCACAGCAGTTCACAGCAGCGGAGGCTGCTGCTATCTAATCCATTTTTTCTCCAAAAGTGCGGCTCCCTCTTATTTTAGGTATCCTTTTTGTTTTATAATGTTTGCTTCTTCTCATTTAGGACTGAGAAAGGATAAAATAGTCTACTTAGGTTGTTTCCAATTTGGTAGTCAATGACCCACATGGACTGCTGACGTGGATTAAAATTTTCATGTCATCCCTGAAAAGTCTGCATTCCGAATTGCTTTAGCATCAAATTCAGAAATTTATTTTCAGATGCAAGCAGTGTTGTTTCCAGATTTGCTACAACATCATGGTTCAGCATAAATGTTTTGGAATTTTACCAAATAACTCAATTAAGTATACAATTAAGCTCGATTTATGCAAATTGAACTTCTATTCATATTAAACTACAATTGACTATTTCATGTGTACTAATTAGAATAAAAGAAGCAATTAATGAGAAAATAGTGAGTACGAGTACAAAGTTAACTATAAAAGTACTTGATATAATAACTTTACTTTTGGAGAGTTATCACCACCCCTAGTATGAGATAGAGATAGGTCCCTAGATCATATTTGCATGTGTTTGTATTTCGCATGATCCCTATAGTTGGATCACATACTGAGTATTC